AAGTCGGGGGCAAATTTCTGTCCTTTCTTTGGAAGATTACCACATACATTTTTTTGTATCAAGATGGAAAGGTAGAATGCCAAAAACTTTCTTTCCCAGTACCAATAAAATTCTCAGCTTTTTTTATATAGGCTACTGATATAGGCTACTGGACATTGTGAATTCAGAAGGCATCTGAAGAAAATATAACTGCATAACCCTAAGCAAAATACTACGATTGGATCAATACATATTGTCATGTAAGAAAAGGCAGATCGTGGACCATAGAAGGCAAACAATTTATAGACAAACCCAATTGTGTCTAAAGTAATATTTAAAACTTCAAAAAACCTGTGCAAGTTGATGAGGAAACGTCTTATCGGTCGAGGAAAAAAAGAAGAAGAATTGTGAACTATTGAAACTCTTTCAGAAAAAAAACAATGAATTTGTATCAACTGAAATTTGCACAGACCACGGGGTTCCGCAGGAAAGTATTTTGGGGCCATTACTATTCTTGATTTACATCAATGACATCAGCAAATGTAATGAATGTGAATATGAACATTATTTCGCTGATGATGCCCTAGTATCGGTTAGTGATAAAAATATAGATGAAGCTATTAAAAAATTGAATGAAGCATTGCATAATATTGATATATATTTAAAAACTGATAAATTGAAGCTAAATGTAAACAAAACAAAGGATATGATACTTACAGAGAATTAGATTTAAATCAAATTGAAATAAAAATAGAAAATGATAAAATTGAGCTCATTACTGAATTCAAATATCTAGGATTCATGTTAGACAATCATCTATCAATGAATAACCATTTCACCTACATACAGAAAAAAAATTTGAAGAAATTATATTTTTTCACAAGAGTATCCCAACATTTAACTATGCAATCACGGATAACCGTATATAAGACAATTATACAACCACATTTTGAATATTGTTCCACTCTTCTACACACAAGTGATTAGAATGAAATGAGAACACTACAAAAACTACAGAATCGCGCAATGAGGATTATTTTGGGATGTGACAGGAGTACCCATATATCTTTATTGTTGAATACTCTAGAATGGTTATCTATAGAAAGTAGGCTTACATATTTAACGATGATTTATGTTACAAAACCTTCTACCCTCATATTTTGACAAATTTGTAATTTTTAATAATCAAATCCACCAGTATACACAAGTGATTAGAATGAAATGAGAACACTACAAAAACTACAGAATCGCGCAATGAGGATTATTTTGGGATGTGACAGGAGTACCCATATATCTTTATTGTTGAATACTCTAGAATGGTTATCTATAGAAAGTAGGCTTACATATTTAACGACGATTTATGTTACAAAACCTTCTACCCTCATATTTTGACAAATTTGTAATTTTTAATAATCAAATCCACCAGTATAATACTAGAATTAAAAATAATTTATATGTATATTAATGTTGACATTACTATAATTGTTGTATATTAGGATGTATCCTATTTGAATAAAGCATTTCATTTCATTTCAACATTTTTTTCTAAATATATTGAATTTACTCAGTAACTTATATAAATACTGAAGAATAGGGGCCTCACTGCGATCGGTGAGGAGTACCATATATCACACCTAAAGTATACGAGAAGTACTTACAATATACCAATTCAACCAACCTTACGACTGTTACTTACATAAAATCAGAACCATTTCAGCAGTTATATGGTTACATCAACCTCGGAAGCACATCAACAGGTTGAAACCTTTCATCACCTCCCCAATGGAGAGGAAATCCACAACAAATTGCCATTCCTAGACATCTGAATACCGAAAACTCACTCGTACGGGACAGTATCCGAATCACGAATCCAATCGCCACCAATCTAGCAAAAGAGGAATCATCAATACTCTAGTGGATCGTACTTTCGCGCTCTGTAACACTGTTGCAAATCATGCCCTAAAGAAAATAACGCCGGCCGCCACTGGTAGCCGTAAATCAATTGTGACGTAGCACTCAATTCGACCGATATTTCGCGACTATTCTACCGACTTCGATGGAATTCCGGCGAATTTTCTACCGCCTTCGAATATGATATATAAACGCTAGCCAATAGCATATCGAGACAGTCAAGTGGAAGTTACAGTGCGGTATGCGAAGTGATCTGGTAAGGCGATAGACATTCGAATAATAGTTGAAGACTTTGTTGTATTTGAAGTTAAATAAAGTTAAGTTTGATTATTCAGTGTAGTCAATTATTGGTCAACCCACGGGGAAAAACGTAACAAAACGAAAAGAGGTTTCGAAAAGGAGCTAAATATCATCAAGCAGATCAATGGAATGGTTACTCCAAAGTAACGGTGGAACAGACTTTGGCTAGAAGACAGCAAGAGCCTCACAAAGAAGAGAAGTCGTCACAACCAGTACTTGTACTTCCCTACGTCAGAAGAGTGTCGGTAAGGATATGAAGAATTGGGTCCAAGTACAACTTCTGAACCTGCTTCAGATCCAACCACACCATCTGTAGCAGCCTCACGAAAACCAGGCCACCAAACGCGAACTGCGATTCAAAGGATGGCATTTACCGGATACCCTATGAGTACGGCAAATAGAAACTCAAAGCAAGGAGAAACCAGCAAATCGGGAACAGCGGATCACGTTTGGAATCATCTATATAACATCGAGTGGTCCCAAGCTGAGATCATCCACAGGGAGGAACATTGATTCAAGAGGAAGTTCAAAGAAGCTGCATAAAAGTTACCCAACGACGCAATCAGCAAAGTCAGCGTAGATATACGCAACATATGGGAACCCATAATCAAGCGATATATGGTCAATTCCCGTCAAACGGTCATCTCCCCCTATAACGGTGAAGCGCAGAGAGGGAAGAGGGGTTAAGTGAAAATGCTCGAAAGACATATAGGAATGAGTCCAGTCATCACCCAAAGACGATTGTGGATACTAAAAATCGAAACGTCGTGAATTAATTTCGCATCATATCAGAATGATATTAGACAGTGTTTCACAATATCGGTTTGAATGACATGCGTCGTGAAAAGTATTGCATTTCTGGTGTACCAGCTATGAAATAACGATCCTGAAGCCTTTGATACTATAAAAACAACAATATATGTCGTCTGCCAGCTTACCGTTTTTCAGAACGGCGGCCAAAATCCCTGTAAATTTGGTCCTTCCAGATCGATACAGTCCCGCTTCAAGGCAATTCACTGTTCATTGCTCTTCAAATGAGAATGTTTAAATACCGCATGAACTCTATGAAACAACTGAATTTAATAGTGCAGTTCTGTTTTAGTGAGTTATTTCTCATACAGTTGTAACCACATTTATGTACTGAATAATGTTCAAATGCAAATACAATATATATAAATAAACACAGCGAAAGCTACGAAATTCGTATCTTATGGGAATTTTGTATGTTGATAACATTTAGTGTAGTCGTTCAAATTAATAATGACCTACAAGTATAAGGATCTGAAGAAAATGACCACATTTCCAGATGGTTACTCGTATAAGCTATCACTAATCAATAGATGGAACTTAGGCTGGAGGCACGAAAATCGCGATGGCCGAGCGATGACTTCGGTCGCGCTGGAGTAGAGTCGTGAGTAACATGTCACGTCATCGAAGAGAATTATTGAAGCCAAGTCGTTCATCAGAACGTAGTTATTATTACCTAGAGATGGTGTTCATTCAATAAAAGAAGGAAGGAGTGATTGTGGCGAATTTACTACCCTTTACTAAGGGCTGAGGTGAACATTTTTACTGGCCCCAGCAGGTTCTACAGATTCTGCAGAACAGTCGGGCATGCATCACTGAATCTGTCACGCGAGGCCACCCAGCTGCTTACGGGACATGGTCATTTTCCGGGATACCTTGCCAGGTTTAACCTGGGCCCGGAACTGCCCTGCGGCTATGACAAGCCCGAAACGGCAGAGCATGTAATGGACAGATGCATGGATGGAGATAGGACTGGATGGCGTGAATGGAGAGAATATAAGGAGCGGGAAAATGGAGAATGAAAGGAATAGCGAATGGATAAGGTTTGTTAATGAATGGGCACAGAGTGTGGTTAGGGATGAACGGGAAGGGTGAAGGGCAGGCTGTGAGCTTGGCGCCAATGAACTGGGGGGTGAATAATTGTCTCCCCAATCATAGCGGTCATAAACATTTGGTGCTAGCTAACTTACGTTAGTTATTGAAAGTTCTGTTTATTTTGTTTATGATGATGGCATAATGCATTAGATATTGTTTGGAGGCTTACTAATTGTAAAATTGTAATCATAATTTACAACAGGAAAATATAGATTGTAAGTGATTTCAAATGCTCGAGCTTCATGCTGGATAATTGTTCATAGTTTCACGTTAATTTTGAATTCATATACAGAAAAAATACGAAAAAAAATTGAGTGATTTTCAATTATTTCAAATAATCTCTTGATGTACCCAAAGAATACATTAAAACTAATTGATACAGTTCATTGTATGATTTTCACTATCAAGGGTTTCACAAAAACCGCGACACGTATTTCGATATACAATAGCTTCCTCAAGCGCCTGAGGAAGCATGCAACTAGAGAAACTTACAGCACATAGGATGTTACCTGATGTAGCCCAAATACAGGCAAATTTAAAGAGACATCCAGAAGGCAGGAAAGAACAAATACCTGCACTAAGGCGTTCTAACGGTATAACAGAACAAATAAGAAGATAAAACGTTCAGTTTGAGTAGAGCCATGAAGATGATAGTACAGCCTGCTGTCGAAAGCGCTCGCATATAATAATTAGAAGTTATTAAAGCTTCAAATTCTTTTTGTGAACAGATGTTAATATTGAAATTGAAAAAAATCAAAACAAAAATACTACCTGAATATAAAACTATGCATTAACAAGATTTTATTACAACAGTGCGATTTCTAACAGGCAGATACCGATTTTTCAAAATTATTCGCAAAATGTTGTCATAAAAAAGTCCGCCGCCTAAAAATGTCTTTTTTTTTCAGAATTCGTACTATTGCGTGCCATGCCCTGGTGCAATGTGGAATTATGTGGCAGCGGCTCGAGGTGACCCACACCGACGCTCCAGGTCGATCTTCACGGTGCAATCGGTCAGAGCGAGCAAGGCCGGGCCTGGACCGTGCAGGGACGGCCTTACTTCGACGTCCTCCAACTGTGCGACGCAACCTTTGACCGGGTATAGCAGGGTACGTAAAGTATTGTCGATGGGTCTTTACATACGAGGGTGAACTGAAAAGTTTCCCACCTGACAAAGACACCAGACACTTTTTCAGTTTTTTTAAATTCTAAAATTAGTCTTTCAACTTAGTATTATAAGTATAACTATGTGTCGCGGGAGCCATGAGAACGATGCTTACTGCAGCACTTGAAGTCCTACTTGGACTTTCACCATTGCACATCTACATACAAAGAGGAGCTCGACTGGTGACACACAGGCTAATGCAGGGGAAAACCCCAATCAGCCAGTGACACGGTGCAGAATACTTGAAACTAAAGGCAGATCCAATACTAGGAATGCTCGTGGATAACACAGTTCCGAAGTACAACTTTCAAAAAGATTTCAAAATGATCATACCAAGTAGAGAGGACTGGCAGAACGGCCCACCGGTAAAAGCGGAAGGAACTTGGTGTACAGATGGCTCAAAGAACAAGAAGAAGTGGGAGCCGGTATATACGGAGGCAGAGCAAAGACGAGAATCGTACTCAGCCTCGGACGTAATGCAACTGTGTTCCAGGCAGAAGTAGCGGCCATCAAACACTGTATAGGGGAAATAGAGGCAGAAGATCACAAATAAAACCATCGCCATTTTCTCCGACAGCCAAGCGGGAATTGAGGCACTCAGCTCATTTCAAGTCTTCTCAAGACTGGTGGGAAACTGTCTGAGCGTATTCTCTTCGCCTAATTTTTAATCTAGATAGAACCGATTCATCTTGACTCAATGTAATTTCGTTATATTTTAATCTGCATATTGTTGTTTTAATATACTTGTATATGACGTTTCCTACATCATAATTGTATGATCTAAAAGAAATCAACATTATTATTATTATTACTAACGGGGCATGGCCGATGCAGGTTCTGTCAAGAGGAGGAAGAAACCGCATTGCATGTGCCCTGTGAATGCGAAGCAATAGCAAGGCTGAGACTCGCAAGATGTGGGAAAGAGAAACCAGAGCTATATGAAGGGGTCAGTGTCAAAGCTATGGAGTCTCATCGAAGAGATCAAGCTAGACAATGAGCTCTAACAACCAAGGAGCATCACAATAGATCTGAAAAAGTCGCAGTGAATCAGACTAGGGACCAGCTCCCCGATAATATATTATAATCTAATCTATGTATAACTACTTTGAAACAATTATTGGTTACTTGGGGATAATAGTTTTGCAAAAAGATTTATGAAGCTTTGAATGGAAACGGGGGCCCTGGTAGAGTCTGATCCGTTACAAATGGTGCGTGTGATGACGGAAGAACTGGGCGTCAGTTCCCATGCGGTTTTGGGTGGTTTGAAACGTATTGGAAAGGTCAAGAAGCTCGAAAAGTGAGTGCCCTGCAGAAATTGTCACGTTTCAAGGTCTGCGCAACCAAAATAATCTTTTTTTGGATCGGATCCTCACGTGTGATAAAAAGTGGATCCTCTACGACATCATGACACGTTTAGGGCAGTGGTTGGACACCGATGAGCCACCCAAGCACTTCTCAAAGGCAAAAACCCACCAAAAAAGACCAAGGTTACTGTATCAGCGGCTGGTGAGATTCACTACAACCGGAAAAATCATCACAGCAGATTCCTATTGTGGAGAAATCAACGAAATGTTCCGGAAATTGCGTCAGCAGCAGCCAGTGCTGGTCAACAGAAGAGGTTCGACCATGCTCCACAACAACGCCCGTCCGCATGTCTCACGTGAAGTTATTCATTCGGTCATTTGAGGTTTTAATTCCACCTACGAATGAGACAATGACAACTACCAGAAGTTTCAAATAAACCCCCCCTTTCATTGCATTACAGAATATATGAGAAATAAACTCAGAGGCAACTGCTATTCAATCCATAAGTTGGTCGGACCTGCCGTGATCCCGTTGGAGGTTTCTGAGCAGCCATTACCTCATTCTATAACACAAACGAATCCGCTTTCTAATTATCTCCAAGTGCTCTTTTCAAATCCGGGTTTCATACAGAGAAAATTAGATTCATTCATTCGATTTGATAGCCGCCCTTTTCGATTCCAGACGGGATGGAAGTGAGTTGTGTGGTTGGCGTTATCCGTTTTTCCCGGCCTTTGCGGTGGCGGTCTATACAGTTTTCAGCTGGTGGATAGTTGATTGATTCTTTCCTGTAGATGCAGTGAATGATGACCAGTGCAGAAGCCTCTTAGAAACACAGAAAAGAGGGACAATTAATAGCACCATAAAAATGTTCAGGAAAAGTTGAAAGTAGTGTGCTTATAATGGGAGAAAAGTCGGATAAAAAAGTTATAGCGAATATAAAGATAACACAGGTCTGCGATGACAAAAATTGAAGGATATTTAACTAGTGGTTTTAACAGTATTTTGTGTGCAGATTATGAAAAAAATAGTGAAAAAAATCTATTACTTATAGATAAGTCACAAATTTCACCTGAAATTTCCTTATTAAATAGGTTTTTAGGTTCGGTATGGGCCTTTTAAGCGGTAATGAATCTGAATTATAGATCTTTCATGATGAACAAGTTACTAGACAATGTGAGTGTATATCTAAGATATAATACCCTGAACTTTTCTCTCAATAAGACTTGAACGATTTAGTACGAAATCTGGGCTTCCCAACGGACTCAGCAGAAGTTTTAGGGTCTAGACTTATAGAAAGACATATGTTAGCCTCCGTTGTTTCATTTTCATGGTACCGATTTAGAGAAAGGGAATTTGTCCCTTATTTTACACAAGAGGGTGACCAAGTTTTCTACAACAATGTACCCGGCGTCATGGAAATGTTCAACATAACGTATGAAATAATTCAGACTCAATTT